GGGTGTGGGGATGGAGCAGCCGCTTCCCAGAGCAGCTTTTCTTTTGCAGCAGCAGCCAGAAAGGGTCGGTCTCCAGCCCTCAGCACCCCCGGGGGCGCTCCTGTGCTGTACAGAGGGGTAAACTGAGGCACGGTCTGTGCCTGAAGCCTGTGACCCCGTAGGGATGGACCAGGAGACCCTCGGGGCTGGGCAAACTCATTTAGCTGTGCAAAACCAAATGGTGCTGTATGGAGCAGCCAAAGCCTGTCCTGAACCGGAGCCAAGAGCGTGACGGGAAAGCGCTGGAGCAGGGAGCAGGAAGGCTCCCCAAAGGCCCTGGCTCTCTCCCCTCGCCACCCCGAAACGGAGGGCTTCGTTTTGGGATTCTCAAAGTGCAACCTTCTGGCTTTTCCTTTCCACACCTGGTCTGAAAACGGCCCTAAATTATTAAGGGAGGGGGAAAAAAAAGCATTGAAGCAGAAGGGACTGTGAATTCCCACACGCCCCAGCAGAAGCTGGACCTGGCTCTGGCAGGGCAGCAGGGGGTTCAGGGGCTGGGCACCGAACCCCCCAGCCCTCCCTGCTGAAGACGTCTGCGTTTGCAGGTATTTTTGTGACCCCATCCCTGCAGGCACAGCCCTGGGCTCGGGGGCCGGCGAGGGTTACTTTTGCGTGGCACCAAAAAAACTGGAGCCTGCCAGAATCCGCAGCGCTGGCTGTGGCGTGTGCTGCCGAGCTGGTGCTCCCAGAGGTGCGGTTTGTCCAGGTGAGGGAGGGCAGGGGCTCCCCCGGCCTTGGGGGTCTTTGGTGGGGGGGTTACCAAAGCGAGCGGGACGGCCAGCGTGTGTCAGCGAGGGAACAGCTTGGCTTTCTGTGTGCTGGTGACGTTACAGAGGAATTGCAGCTGGGTTTCAAGCCAGCGTTCAAGCTCTGCAGAATCCATCGAGCTCCATTCTGTGAACGGCAGAGGAAGCCCTGGGGCGCGTGCCCGCTGGCTGGCCCCGTGCTCGCACCCCCTTCCAGCCCCCCTCAACACGGGCCGGGCCCGATGCCTTTGAATCGCTTCCCCCGCCGCACGCACGGCCCAGGCGAGACCTTGTTCGGCAGTGGGGCGGGG